GAAAAATAAACGTCTGACATTTGAAACTGCCAAGAGAAAAGAGTCAAAATATTTGGCGAAAATATTGCTCTATGAGACCAGCGCCAGTTTCTTTTCAAACGAATAAAATTCGATGACGCAGTGTCATTTATTGCGACGAACTGTGTTGTAGGGAACGGAAGAACTGGGTTCATTCAATTGATAATTTATCGCCGATAACGGAAGTTATTACGTGCCGCGAATTCCCGAATGATTACGAGATCGGTATTTTTTTTTTTTTTTTTTTCGAAACAATAAAGATGACACAGCGTTGCACAAAAGCAACAATATTGAGACTGTCAGCGAATCGATCCAATCTCCAACGGCCATAAATCGTCGCCTTTTTTCTGTTCGTGCAAATTCTTGCTCGATAGAAGGTAAATAGACTGAAACACAGTTGCTGAATCCAGCTCGCTTTTCAAGCAACACGCCAGTATAAAATTTATTTTCCCCGTTTCTTCGCTCGAAGTTTAACAAAATTTAACCGACGACAGCACGAAAGCTTTTAGAATCAGTCGGAATGAAAAGAAATACAAAGTTGAAAACAAATGTCTCGAATTAAGCAAATATTAACTCTGTACCGATAAAGTCAATTATTACAAAGATATTGTCAAACAAGTTCCAGTTTTGTAAGCTTCACAATTAACAAGGAGAATCGTTGACCTTAGACAGGTAGTGAGATGTTTTAGAATATTGACGTAAGATAAGTAAAAGACATCGAAACGAGGCAGAAACCTGCAGGATATTTTCACCCACTTCCGGTATCGACTGGTGGTGTAGATTTTAGCGAGAAACCGAAAGTTCAGAGAGAGACTCTTGCTGCAAAATGTGCATTCTCCATGGAGGAGATAGCAGATAACATCGACATCCGAAGTCGGTAACCGTAGTTCGAGAAAACTACCCTTCCCAGAGGGAAATCATCCCTCCTGCGTTACCGACCTGGCAATTCCAGGAACATCGTCGGCTACCGCCCTCTGAGGAAGCCGAGAGCGCATGCGCGTACCGTTTCGATCGCGAACAACTCCTTTCTCGTTAAATCGCACGTATCACCTAAGTTCTAGGAGGGTGGAGAAACCTCTTACTATGGAAGACTAGAAGACCCTAGAAACTCTTTTACTATGAAAGGGAAGGTACTACGTGAACAGAGATTAAATTATCTTTTCGGGACAAACAATAACGGGGATATGAACCATAATAAGATTGTAATTTGCGGATGAAGTCGTACACTCCGCGAGAGTATGTATTTTTCAAGCATAAAAATAGATGAAAAAGTAATAGAAAAATATGAAGATTTCGTGGAAATTCCAACCTCGAGAAACGTTCAACGCAAAGCCTTGCAAATTTAACGAAATATTCCACCTCGGAGTTTCGTATCGCTGACCTTTACGAAATTTCAATTCCAAAATATTCGACGTGAAAAGCCTGACGAATTTAACTGAAAAATCTTTTCCAATTACGCTAAACCAATCAGAACGCGAGAGAGCAATTCCCGTGTTTCGATGCGTTTCAACGCCACGGCGCGGCGCGGCGCGGCATTCCATTTATCGTCGCCGCTACGAGGGTGGTGGAGGAACGAAGATGTGACCGTTGTCGAACGAGAAACACCCGCCTCTCGAATTTTATCCCTTAATGGAGAAAGTTGTCAGGAGCCTGTCCCCTCCTCCCCCGTCTCACCCGTCTCTCCATTCTCGGCTGTGCCCGTTGCCTTTATATCCGCATTTTACGAGATTCTTTTTTCACCCTTCGCGCCGATTCTTTTTACAACTTCCGCGTTTCGTTTTCATTCTGGCCAGCCATGAGATACGCTTCACGCACAAACGCGGCGAAAATGCAAACTCGACGCGGAATCGAGTTTCGATAACGCCCCCGCCCCCTTTCCCAAAGGGAAAATCGATGATGATAAGTCGCGGTGTATTAAAAAAGCATCGAGTGAAGGATCGAACAGACACGAGGAGAGCGCAGCTGTTTAACTCGCGGCGGTCCTTCCATATGAAAAGAAACCGATCGATCAAACCAATGAACGAGCACCCTAAACGGGACCATTATTCGTTGAGCGATTACACGGTGCAACGTGCAACGATCAAACGCCCGGCATTCGAAACATTAATTCACCGCGACGAGCCATGAACGCCATGGAGACCGTCGCTGTCGCCTGATAAACACGTCGCTTGAAAACGCTTCCTTTCTGCTCGCTGACGCTAGCCCCACCGGGGGGATGCTCCGTTAAATGCACTTTGCCGTGCTGCAGTGATTTTAAAAATTACTAACAGAGAGAGAAAGAGAGAGAGGTAACGAGAGAGAAAGAAGAAGGAAGTAGATGGAAAAAGAGGGATTCTTAATGTGCTTTCGTTGAAAGGGTAACGAAGTTTACCGAACGAGCAGTTGTTGAAGCGAAGAGAGAAACTATACAAAGAGGTACCGCAACGAAAGAAGCGCATAACACGTTACGCAATTATGCAAAACAACGAACTCGAAAGAACCGTGGCTTT